CTCAGTCGTTTCTATAGCCTCTCGGGCAGCGGCTGAGGTATGTTACATTACATTTATTAGAGATCACCTCAAACTAACATCTATTGTAGTTTCACTTAGGTAAATAATAAGTTGTTTCTATAGCCTCTCGGGCAGCGGCTGAGTTTCACTTAGTTTTATTAATACCATAGTCATATTTTGGTGCAAAGGCTACTCCTTATGTGAATTCACTAAGTATCAATGCTGCACATTACTTTGAACTTACACTCAGGAAAAGCAATGGCATAAATTGTGATAAAATAACATTTATAATACAACATTTGTACAAATGGTTCTACTTACTAGTCCTCAACTTGTGTACCTTCTTTCTGTTTCTCAAGCTCTTCTTCAGTCAGCCACTCAAGCCCTGGATGTTTTCGAAGCACATATACCCTACTGTTGTAACACCAAATCCCAACAATGTCAACTATAGAAGAAATAGGAAGAACTTTAATATCTTTGGCCCATTTTCCTCTCCACACATTTAGAGTACAATGAACATCCACAAGGGGATGATATACAACAAATTGCTGTGTATCTCCTTCAAGTCCTTCAATTTCAAAGAATGCAATTGCTTCACCAAAAGTTGGGACCAAATTTGCATCATTTCCTTCAAAGTAACAATGTGACCTTGAAGGAGGGTGTCTGTTAGGCAACAAATACAAAGCTATATAACAAAACACAATGCCTGGTCAAGTCCTTGCTAGAAGGCGGTGAATCAGGGTATGAGAGTTTTGAAAAGTATTGGTATAGGCGCAAATCCAAACTAATATTGAACTAAAGAATAATACATCGAGTATGTACTTCTTTATATAGTGAACAGCAAGGGTCAGACCGAGAAAGGGAAGAATTAAGAAAGTGGTCTGACCAACTGACTAACCAATAGGAAAAGAAAGAGAAAGTGGTTCGATCTATCGTATTTACTAATTGTAACAACCAAGAGTTAGTTACTCTGGCGCACACAGAAACACACTATAAGGAAGATGATGAGGGAGTGGTTACCCCTCAGGCTGCAGAGAGTTTGTTGGTTAACAACAGGAGGACTCGCTAAGGAGTCTCCTGGATCTATTGGGGTTTATATACTACTACAGGGTTGTTTGTACATGTGTACTATACAGTTGATAGAGACAGTTGCTGATGATGTTATGGGGCCTAGCCTGCATGGCCAGCTCCACTGTGTGAGAGAGTTGTGTCTAAAATAAGGAGAAAGGCAACGCGGCATGAGAAAGAGGAGTTTGGACAAAAGGGGAAGTGCCACGTGGCACCATGTGTGAAAGCTATAGTACAAGGTTAAAGCGGAGAATAAAAATAAAAGGAAGGTCCGAAAATTGTGTTATCGTAACACTAATCGTATGAGAAAAAGTATTGGTAAGGGGTGTGCAATTGGCTGTATCAGTAAGCCCATGAGAAGGCGCTGACTCATAACCTTCTTTGCTTATCAATATCCCTCCGAAGTGTTCCCAGACATAGCACGGCAGGACTCCGATCTTCTGGAAGTCTTCAAGAAAGACATCTCCTCAGAAGAGAAGGCGCGCCTTGATGGCAATGAAAACTATTTATGGAAAGACGGGCTCTTCCATTTTAAAGACAAGATCTATGTGCCTGAGTCCGCAAGGATCAAGGCAATAGATAGGCATCACGACACTCCAGTGGCTGGGCACCCTGGGTGGCAACAAACAATGGAGTTGATCTCCAGAAATTATATGTGGCCTGGCATGGTCAAAAACGTACAGGAATATGTAAAATCCTGTCTGAGATGTGCCATGGCTAAGAATTCTCACCAACCGCCGGCCAGTAAACTTATGCCAAATCCGATACCAACTGGTCCCTGGCAGGATATATCAGTTGACTTTACAACGGATCTGCCCGAGTCAAATGAATATGATTCAGTAATGGTGGTAGTAGATCGCTTCTGCAAAGAAGTGGTATTCATACCCACTAATAAAACCATTACCGCCGCTGGTACGGCAGATCTATTTAAAGATTTTGTATGGTCTATCCATGGGTTACCAGAAACGGTTATCTCCGATAGAGGACCACAATTCGCTAGCAAATTTACGAAAGAATTATGCCGGATGCTGGGCATCAAACCTAAATTATCAACGGTGTTCCATCCGCAGACTGATGGACAAACGGAGAGACTCAACCAGGAGTTGAAACAATATCTCTGGATATTTATTAATGACAGACAGACGGATTGGGCCAAGTGGCTAAAGATAGCCCAGTTGTCATATAATATCAAACAGTCATCGGCTACAGGAAAGGCACAATTCGAGGTTACTAGATCGTACCTCCCCAGAATGGGTGTAGAACCTGGCAAAAGCAAGAAGAGGCTGCTGGGAACATGGCCAAAGACATGAAGTCTGTCTTGGACGAAACACGCAAGGCGCTATTCAAAACTGCAGAGCAGATGAAAGACAGGGCAGAGCGTAGACGCTCTAAAGCCCCTGACTACAAGGTCGGCGACCTGGTCTGGTTAGATACCGACCACTTAAAATTAAAAGATTGGCAGTCTAGAAAACTGACCGAAAAGTGGATTGGCCCTTACCGGATTAAGGAAGTCAAACCCAACGCAGTGGAGCTGGAACTCCCAAAATGAATGAGGGTGGTACCCACGGTCAATATTAGCCGTGTGAAACCCTACAAAGGGCCGCTGCCGGGACAGCGTGTAGACTGGCCCGGACCGGTGGTAGTCACCCAGGAAGGTGAAGAAGAGTTTGAAGTCGAACGAGTGGTAGATGCACGCTTGAAGCATGGCAAATTAGAGCTCCTAGTCCTATGGAAGGGCTATGGAGACGAGGACAGAACATGGGAACCAGAAGCCCATCTGGACAATTCCCGCGATGCTGTTTGCAAATTTTATCCCAAGAATCCCTCAGCTCCTAGGAAGCTTAGAGGCATGGATTCAAAACTTTTTAATTCTCTTTTTCAAACTATGCCCGAAAATTTAACTACTACCTCCGGTATTTGGTCTCGCCTGGAAGTTGAGCCTTAGAAGGGGGGTAGTGTTACGATAACACAATTTTTGGACCTTCCCTTTACTTTTATTCTCCGCTTTAACCTTGTACTTTAGCTTTCACACATGGTGCCACGCGGCACTTCCCCTTTTGTCCAAACTCCTCTTTCTCGCGCCGCATTGCCTTTCTTCTTATTTTAGACACAACTCTCTCACACAGTGGAGCTGGCCATGCGGGCTAGGCCCCATGACATCATCAGCCACTGTCTCGTGTTTTTTGCGAAGTTTTCAATAAACCTTCGGTAGAAATTGCCTAAGCCAAGGAAGGCCCTAACTCCTTTGACGCGAGTAGGTTCTGGCCAATCCAAGATAGCTTGGACTTTCTCAGGATCCATCCTGATTCTGTTCTGGCCTATGATCATACCGAGGAAGTCTACTTCTTTCACTTTAAAATTACATTTTTTGGGTTTGACGAATAGGTCCCGTTCCTGTAAGCGTCGAAGGACTTCTTGCATGATCCTGTCATGCTCAGCCTCATCGTTCGACTTTGTAAATATTAACAAATCGACAATGTAAATGACGACACAGTTTTCCATATCCGCAAAGATCTCGTTCATCATGCTCTGGAAGGTTGCTGGTGAATTGGTCAACCCAAAGAACATAACAAGGGGTTCAAAGGATCCTCGGTGGCACGTGAACGCGGCCTTCCAAGTATCTGTTTCTTTGATTTGTACATTATTGTACCCCCATCTGAGATCCATCTTTGTCAAGATCTTGGCACCAGCCAATTTGTCTACTAGCTGACTGATCAGAGGCAGTGGATACGCATTTTTAACCGTGTGCTCATTCACGTAATGATAGTCCATAATCATGCACTTTTTCCCATCCTTTTTAGGAATGAAGAACACCGGGGACGTCATAGGGCTTTTGGAAGGTCTGATGTAACCCTTCCTAAGCTGTTTGTTTATGAAACTTGATACCTCATCTCTTTCTGGAGCAGAGAGTGGTATCATGTGTCCTTTTCTCGGTTTAAAGGTGTCCTTCAAATCTATAGCATGGTCCCAAGGCTTAGCCTCTGGGAAGCGCTCTGATTTATGTTTTGATAAGACTTTCCAGAAGTCATGGTACTCGGGAGGTACCAGCCTCTTAATCTTTTCCTCGGGTTTTACCTCATCATCATCATCGTCGATCTTTTCTAAAGATCTGAGCTCATAAACGTGACCAGTGTTTATCTTCTCAAGACGCTCTTTGTGACGGATATGATTTGGTTTGCCCAAGTTTACACACTCCTGAGGGCAACGTGACAATGTGACAACCCCTGTCTGCCAGTTGATCTCAGGATTGTGTTTAAATAGCCAGGTCCAGCCTAAGATTAAATTAATCTTCCCTAGTTGGGTAGCTTCGGTGGTGACTCGTTCTCTGTGTCCTTGGTATTCGACCACAAAAGAACATTTGTGCATGATGCAGCCACCCGTGGTCAGCGTACCGTCAACGTTATAGACGGGAATAGATACATCTAATTTTACAAGGGGGAGTCCAATTTGCTCCGCCCAGGCCTGATCTATGAAAATTTGGTTAGCGCCTGAATCAAGCAGCGCGCTGGTTGGGTGTACTATGCCCCGGGCAAGGTTTTCCACACCAACATCTAAACGGATCTCCTTTTGGAATAAATATGTGCGCATTAACACACACCTTGGGATTTTGGGAAAGGGTGGCTGCAACGAAGAAGAAGGGGTATCGAAAGTTACATGTTTTTCTATTTTATTTTTACCAGAATCAAGCACCCTATTGTTTGTCTCGCCGGGGCCGCGCTCCAAGGGAGACACCGGTGCAGCGGTAGTATCATTAATATTACAGTCACAATGCTTTATACAAGTACATACTTTGGATAACAAATTTAGAAATCTATTTACAAATTGGGGAGCCATCCCCGTCTTTCCTTTATTGCTCATGCAACACCCCGGAGCAGGGGCCACCTTGTCGTGGTTTACTTCATTGTTCATAGGAGCGAAGGCACCCAAGTGACCTAAGCTCCGAACTCTTTTCCCTGAATCTTCATTTCAGCAACCTGCTGGTCGTAAAAGAAGGCCCGGATTTTGTTGTACGAACAACGGGCCAGAGTCTGGAGCCGATCGTCCGGTTTCTCAGATTCTAATTGGCGCGCCTGGCGCCCTTGATTATTTTTTAGTTGAGCGGCCTGCATTCCTTTTCTGCAGTCTCGGGACATGTGTCCCTCTTGGCCGCAATTGTAGCATTCCCCTTGAATCTGCGCATCTGTCCCTCTTGGACCGCGCCGATATCCATGGGGGCTCCCTGCCCTGGTTGCAGCCCGAACAGCTTGAACCCGTGAGAATGATTTTGATGGTTTGATGACCCAGAGCGCCTCTGGGATGTGTTGTTTTTGGTGGTGGACCCGCCACCTTGGTGCATTTGGTAAAGCTCCATGGCTCTACCGACTCGTCATACTTCCTCAGCCGCCAGGGACAAGTTCTTGTTTCTTGTATCCTGCAAGTAGATCTGTTCTGCAATGCGAGGGTTCATATTGCGCTCCAGCAGTTCTACTGCATGTTCATTACCAAGCCCTCCTTGGATGGAGAGGGCCAGGAACCGGGTAACGTAATCATCTGTCCTCATGTTTCCTTGTTTGAAGGAACGGATTTGCTGACGTGCCCAGTCACGCTCAGCTTGTGGTTTGAAGTATTTTTCGATCTCCTTCTTGAGATCCTCCCAGGTCGGCCACACTCCCGCGGTGTAGCATTCCTGGAGTCTAACTTGGGCATATTGACTGGCCACAGGTCCTTTTAGCCGACATAGCACCGCAGTGGCTACCTCAAAATTGTCGGCAAATGCGTCCCAATTTTCCTTAACCCAAATCTGGAGCTTGATCCACCACTCGGCGAATCGTGCTCTGTCTCCCTCGAAGGCACCAGGGTCAGTGACGACTTCGACTTTCTTGTTGAATTTCTTCTCGACCGAGGGGGTTGCCGCAGGAGGGTTTGTCTGCAGCTCGGCAAGTTGCGAAGTTAATGTTGCAATCTGTGCACGTATGGCGTGCAGCAGACCATTCATATCTTGTTGCAACGACATGTCGACTTGTTCTCTTTGTAAAGTAAAAAAAGGTAACTGGGGGTCCCCGCTTGCTGTCTGCGGATCTACCTCTTCCCAGCTGAGTATTGGATCTCAATCTCCGACTACCCACACTATAGTATTTGAAAATTTATATAAAAAAAGTTATAGTATTTAAACCCTGGTCCGAACGGTTGTCAGGGGTGGTCCGCTTGTTAAGCTGTCAACC